GTATTTTTATTAGGGTTGGCTGTGTAAGTTTTCTTCCATAGGGAGCCTAAGGGGGCCCAGAGAGTCTTCTCAGAACTGGAGGCCATCAAGGATTGGCTCAGGCTCGCTGGCTAGTAGGCTCTCCTGTTCCCAAAGTCCATACTCTCGTTTGTTGTTATTAAAAAATATTCGTTGAATGCCTGCTATCTACTAGGTCCTGAATGTTTAAAAACAAAGTTCCTGCCTTCAAGGGGCTCACAGTTTTTCTGAGGGGACACGTAAACAGATAAAATGTCGTTAGGGTGTAGTTCTGCGTAATCAAGAGTGTTCTTAGGTGCTAACAAGAGCATCTACTCTGTAGTTTAAGCAGAAAACAAATGTATGAAAGGTTATTGGACAGCTCACATAATTCTACGCGGCACGAACACTGTGTCTCAAATCATGCTGCAGGACAAAGTTGGGGCTCAGTATGCTGGACCATGTTGTGCCTTCTCTCCCAGCCAGTGCTGCAATGGAAGAAAAGGAATTCAGCTCCTAGGAAATGCAAAACATTGATTTGTGGATAGAGAGGGAGTATATGTACATATCATCTCTTGGAGGGAATTAAAAAGCAACAATGATAGAGCTATGGCAAGGCTACAAGCAGGGAATACCTACGGCAAAGAAAAACCAGAGCTAGACGATAAAGTAGCAAAACCAGATTTTATTCAGGACTATTGCAATAAGCGAAAACAGACCTCAGCATACAGTCAGGCTCATTCTAAAAACAGCATGAGAAGTTGAGGCTTGGAGCCATGGAGCAGGTAGGAGTTGAAAGATGGATAATTACCAAGAGGAAATGCCAGGGGTGAGGGTGATGCTGGCTAAACTGACCTAACAGGATACCTGCTGAAGAAAGGCCAGGGTGACCAGACATCACCTGGGAAGGTGGAGGATGAGGACCCTGATCAGATATTGGGAGTGGTCAGATAGGAACAAGGGGGGGTTCTTGCTGAATTGACTTTGTGGGGTTCTTGCTCAAACTGGATTTTACAAGAAAGTACACAGATGAGCCTAGAAGGTTCAGGAGCCTGACTCTAGTTTGCTCAAGCAAAGAATCTTTGTCACTACTCCCTTATTTTTCCCCTATGCTGAAATTAAACTAGGCAGACTCCAAATTATCTTTAAAAATATAGGTGTGTTTTTAAAACATTCCAAAGAGCAATTGCAAAAGCACCTGTGGAATGTGTCTGCTTTAACAGAAGTGCCCGAAAGGTTACTCCAGCAAAAATGATTAGCAGGTGCTGTGGATGCTGCTGGTGTCTTGGCCAGGTCCCCTTTGCTTCCTTCCCCAGGTGCCATGGAGGTCACCTGGTGGGAGTCAGCACAGGGGGCCGTGACCCCCTACACCTATGCTGTTCCAGCTTTGACCCCAGGCAGAGAGAGCTTCCCTCTAATCTGAGGAGACCTCCTGCTTCCAGGCCTGTCCCAGCTTTCTCTGCTGGCAGGAAGGCAGTAGGGGTGATGTCCATTCTGCCCCATCAGGGGAGATGAATCAACTTTATGGCTCTGCTTAAGCAGATCCCCTTGCTGGGTACGTACTTGGATGTGACCAGATTTCCTTGGCTGCAGCTCTTCTCAAGGCTCCTGTTTGGCCACATGAGGACTGTTTTGGGGTGGGCTGCAAGAGAACTCATCGAACCAGTGGTCAGGAGGGCTTGCGGGGCAGAGAGATCCCCTAAGTCCGTTCCTTCCTTTTCTTTTCTTTTTTCTCTTTTCTTTTCTTTCTTTCTCTTTCTTTCTTTCCTTCTTTTTCTTTCTTTCTTTCTTTTTCTTTCTCTCTCTCTCCTTTCCTTTCCTTTCTTTCACTCACTCACTCCTTCCTCCCTCCCTCCCTCCCTCCTCCCTCCCTTCCTTCCTTCCTTCCTTCCTTCCTTCCTTCCTTCCTTCCTCTCTCTCCCTTTCTTTCTCTCTCTTTCTTTCTTTTTCTTTCTCTCTCTCTCCTTTCCTTTCCTTTCTTTCACTCACTCCTTCCTTCCTTCTTTTTCTTTCTCTCTCTCTCCTTTCCTTTCCTTTCTTTCACTCACTCCTTCCTTCCTTCCTTCCTTCCTTCCTTCCTTCCTTCCTTCCTTCCTTCCTTCCTTCCTTCCTTCCTTCCTCTCTCCTCCTCTCTTTCTTTCTCTCTCTCTTTCTTTTTCTTTTTTTTCTTTTTTCACTGTCACCCAGGCTGGAGTGCAGTGGTGCGATCTCCGCTAACTGCAAGCTCTGCCTCCCGGGTTCACGCCATTCTCCTGCCTCAGCCTCCCCAGTAGCTAGGACTACAGGCGCTGCCACCACGCCCGGATATTCTTTTTTTTTTTGTATTTTTTAGCAGAGAGGGGGTTTCACCGTGTTAACCAGGATGGTCTCAATCTCCTGACCTCGTCATCTGCCCGCCTCGGCCTCCCAAAGTGCTAGGATTACAGACTGAGCCACCATCCCCGGCCCCTCTAAATCCTTTCTAAAGGGCTTTGGTGGAAAGCAGCTGGGCATTGGCTCAGCACTGAAAGCAAGTCTGCACACAGAGCTTGACTTGAACTGAAAGAAAAGGAAAAAGAATCCTCATCCAGGGCTGGGATCCAAGAGACACACACTGACACAGCTACTAAAAGGTTGTTAAACTCCCGAAGGACCCCCGCCTTACTGTGTTATGGTCTGACTGTGTGTTGTTGAAGCCTTTACCCCCAGTTTGATGGTGTTTGGAGATGAGCCTTTGGAAGGTAATTAGGGTTAGATGAGGTTAGGAGGGTGGGGCCCTCATGATGGTATAGTGATCCTATGAAAAGAGCAAGAGAGAGAGAGAGAAAACTCTTCCCCCCGTGACCATGTGTAAGCACAGAGGAAAGGTCATGGAAGGACGTGTCAAAAAGGCAGCCTTCTGCAAGCCAGGAAGAGACCCTCCCCAGGAACTAAATTGATCTTAGACTTTCCAGCCTGCAAAACTGTGCGAAATAAGTGTCTGTTATTTAAGCCACCTATTTATGGTATTTTGTATGTCAGTCTGAAAAGACTAAGACATGTTGGTGAATAGCTGCTGCACCCCCAACACCCAGGAGCCTCCCCTGGGGCCCCACAGACTCCCTGCCATCCAGCACTAAGGGTTGAGACCTGGCCCTGCAGGGGCCACTATTCAAGCTCTGCTCCACCCCTGCAGACAACAGCCATTCAGGTGAGTGGGTTGTGCCGCACCCGTTGTTAAATATTCTGAGCACCACTTGTGGTGGATTTAAAAACAGTCCCCAGACTCATTGAAACTCTTCTCATTGACAGATGGGGTCTGTGTCCCCTTTCCTTGAAGCTGGGGTGGCTTGTGATGTCTTCAGCTGATAGGGCACCGGGGAAGTGATGCCATGTGACTCCCGACACTAACAGAAGGCAATGTGGTGTCCTCCTTGTCCACTGGGAGACCGTGGAGCCCCACCCCTTGCTACCCTGAGGCCGTCATGCTGGAGAAGCTACATGTAGGAGCTCAGGGGACAGTCCCAGTTGAGCGTGGCCTTTCAGCCATCTCACCAGGGGCCCAACATGTAAGTGAAGAGGCATCCAGATGATTGCAACCCTTTGCCCTAGAGTCACCCCAAACTTCAGGTCTTCCCAACTGAGACTGAGTCCCCTTACTTGTTGGGGCAGAGACAAGCACCTTGCTGTGCCCTCCAGAATTCCTGACCCACAGAATCTGTGAACATTATACATGAGGATTTTACACCACTGGCTCTGGGGTGGTTTGAAAGGCGGCAGTTGTAACTGGGAGCCCACCCTGCATAGAAAGGTGAAGAAACTGAGGCTGAGAGAGCAAGTGACTCAGTCACTGATATAGTTTGGATGTCCACTCCAAATTTCATGTTAAAATGTGATCCCCAGTGTTGGAGGTGGGGCCTGGTGGGAGGTGTTTAGGTCAGGGGGTGGATCCCTCATGGCCTGGTGCTGTCCTCACCATCCTGAGCTCTGACAGGATCTGGCTATTTAAAAGTGTGTGGCACCTCCCCCCACCTCTCTTGCTGCCACTCTCACTGCGTGATGTTGGCTCCCCCTTCACCTTCTGTCATGACTGTAGGGTCCCTTCAGAGGCCTCCTCAGAAGCTGAGCAGATGCTGGCACCATGCTTCCTATAGAGCCTGTAGGACCGTGATCAGTAAATTACCCAGACTCAGGTATTGCTTTATGGCAACACAAGAATAGCCTAACACAGTCAAAGTCATGGAGCTGGCACAGGGCAGAGCCAGAATCTGCCTCCCATCCGAGTGAATTCAGAGCCCACGCTGTTCCCATCTCCCTGATCAGGCTGGTTCCTGGGCACACGCTTACCCCTCAGGGCCACTTGAGGGGAAGTTCACAAACTGGAGCATGTTCAGGGGTGATGGCCCCAAACCAGGCTCCAGGAGGGACCACTGAAGGGACTGGGGACACCAGGCTTTGACAGAAGTCATCGCAGAATTTGTGGGGCTTCTTCAGATATCCAAAATGTTGTTACTGGGAATGAATAAGTGTTGTGGCCCCAGATGGCAGAGGTGTGGGCTTGATGCGGCTGATTTTGGTTCAGGTAAAGCAAGAACTTTGCCGGTCACATCCACTGGAAAAAGACTGGGCTGTCAAAGGATTCAGTGAGTCCCCATCTTTGGAGGCAGCCAAGTGCACCCGGAGTACTTAACTGCATCCTGAGTACCCCCAGTATACCCTGAGTACCCAAGTGCACCCCAAGCACACCAAGGACCACCCCCGGGTGGATGCCAAGGGGATAGTCAGGCTGCAGGTTGGAACAGGACCAGCTGACTTTAAATCCCTCTCTAACCCTGAGATACGAGGATGTAGCCTATACATCAAGAAGTGAATAGAATCTACCCTCATTTGCAAGGGTTGTCCCCAGGGCAGCGGTGGGTGCGGCCCATCCAGTGTTCCCACTGGGAAATGCCCACAGGGTGCTCAGGCTTTGTGGCTCCCCAAAGCTCTGTTTCTGACAGATTAAATTGCTCCTACTCTGGTGCCTGCTAAACATCCAAAGACACTTTGAGTTGAATACAAATCTTTATTATTTTGAAAACCACAGCAAAGGCACTTCAGAATCTCCAGGTACCCAGTCTCAGTTGCCATTCAGTGGGGACAAGAGTGGTGCTGAGGGCATGGTCACGCCCTTCTGTGCTACATGCAGAGGAGTGCGAGGCCAGGGCAGCTGACCTGGTCAGCCACCAGGGGAACCCACGCCGCTTAGAACACAGTGTCCTTAGGTCAGGAATTTGTCGTTTGTTTTGTTATTAAGGTGGTAAGAGAATTTTTCATCCATTTAGAGCCTAACATTTTTAGATGAATGTTAATGGCTTCTTGGTTGGGATGGATACGTGTTCGTTTCTCAGCTGCTGAAGGATGTGTGTTCTAAAACAAAGGGGCTCCAGCCAGCTTTCTGGCTGCCTGATAGAGAAGCATATCAGTAAGACACTTGTTAAAAACCCATATTCCCTGGCCCCTCTTGTGGAGACCCTGTCTCAGTAGATGGGAATGGGGCCGAGGTCTGTATAACCTGTGCCCAGGAGACTCTGTGACCAGCTTGGGAAGCTCCTGCAGGGAGGAAGGAATGACCCACAAGCCCCCAGCCCCTTCATGCCGAGGCATCCGTCTGGCTGGAGAAACGCTAAGGTTGGCATTGTGCTCACACTGGGAAATGACGTGGAGGAAGTTGGGAAGAGGAGCCCAGGTTGGTTCCACCCTCTGGGTCAGAAACCCGGCTGGAAAGCACTGGAAATAGGGAAATAGAACACTAAAAGGCTGGGACTCCCCCTCCTCCACACCCAACCTGCGTCCATGGCTGAGGTTGAGTGAGGAGGCTTGGAGACTGTGTCCATGGCTGAGGTTGAGTGAGGAGGCCTGGAGACTCTGGCTTCATGGCCTTTGCCCTTGTTCTTCTGTGCCTCAGGGGTCGCTGCCCACCAGGCTCAGCAGGGCGTTCTTGTAGTCACCGCTGGTGTCTTCCTGTGGGCAGGAGATACATGAGCATGAGAAGGGTCTTGTTTGTGCCTGGCTTGGCAATGGCAGCATGTTGTTATGACTAACAGCTGTGCCCCTGTCCTGCACCTGGCCCGGCCCTTCAGGGTTCCTAGTCGCAGGGGTTGTGCCGTCACCCCTCTTTCCTTGTTTTTAATTTCACACCATTCCTTTGCATATCCTTTTGATTCTCTTAGCAACTACATGCAGGAGTGATGTGGAAAATGAATCAGAGACAGTTCAACTTCTAAACAAGGAAGATGTCAGCTGTCCCAGGGTTCTTTTCGGGAGCCAGGGGTGCCCAGCCATTCATTTACACAACACGATGCATCATTATTCAACACCTGCTGTGGCAGCTTGGGAACCAAGGCTGAGAGTGAGGCACCAGCACACACCTGGGGGCAGGGCCGGGGGTGGAAGGAGCCTGGACCATCGCGCCCTGATGGTGTGGCTGAGGCAAGCCCCTTCACCTCCGTGGGATTCATCTATGAAATGAGATTGATGCTGCGCTGCCGTACATCTTGCTGAGACGTGGTGAGAGCAGAGCAGGAGAAAGGCAAGCTGGTCTACCCTGCAGCTGACTCGCATCGGGTCCACAGTGTTTGTCTCCTGATGAGACTGACCTTGTGGTCTGATGGCTGAGGAGCCCTGTTTCTTAGATATGGGTAGGTCCTGATGGGACTGGCTAGTCCAGGGTCTGCACACAGAGCTGGGAAATGGGCCAGGTCAGATCACCCAGATTCTTCTTCATGCAGTTGAGAACAGTGGGGCCAAGAGAGGGGAGTGGATTCATTCACAGCAGCATGGTGAGGAAGGGGTAGGCTGGGGCTAGACTTTCCACACTCTGGAGCAGTTTAAGTCTCATGGTTATTGTCTGTTTTTCACCGCTTAATAAAATTTGCCTGTTTTGAACCTGAAATCTTGTCACAGGTTTCAAACTACAATTAATTTTTTTTTAAACTTTTTTCTTTCTAGACACAGTCTCACTCTGTCACCCAGGCTGGAGTGCAGTGATGCAGTCCTAGCTCACTGCAGCCTTGAACTCCTGGGCTCAAGCGATCCTCCTGCCTTGGCCTACCAAAGCACTGGGATTACAGGTGTGGGCCACCACGCCTGGTGATTTTTATTACTTTGAAGACAATTTTTGTAATAGTTTTTAGAAAGAGAAGCATTAAGTTTGTTTACTTTTTCAAATACATGAGTTATACTTGGAGTGTTTATACATTTGCCTCTTAATTTCAATGCAAGAGTTTTTAACTCATATTAGTATTGAAAACCATTTTTGCTTTAATGACATCTGTGGTCTACACTAAAAAGAAAATGTTTCGTCAAGGTATTCGTGATTCTAACCCAATTTTCTTAAGTTACAGCATTAGATAAAATTTGAAGAGGGTGGCTTCATCTATCTCTAGAAATCTCTCTGATGCCATAAGGTACCATGTGTGGTTAAAAGGGTTAATGACAATCAGCTCAGACCGTCTGCAGGTGATAGCAGCAGTCCAGGCTGGTGTGTGCCTTGCCCTCCTGTCTCCCAACAAGATTGGCTGGGGAGCCTAAAGTGAAACCAAGAATAATTCCAACCATCCCTTCCCCATGCCCACCTGCTGCCCCATCTTGAAACATCTGGAAACAGAAATGTCTTTTCCATCTATGGTCAGCTATGTTTCTTGAAAAGTGCACTTAACAACGACATCTGCGGAAGAGCTAGAGACTTGACGTAGTAGCCAAAGAAGACTTGGGGATATATTTGTCTTAATGTGACTTCTGCTAATGAAATCATCAAGACCTCAATTTGCAGACACCCCTAGATGAGCTGTTTCTCCCAATTATCGCAGTGTGATAATCACTCTGTGTTTTGAAGGCTCCAGAACTCTTGCTAATTGTAATCGGGTTAGACAGTCTATTGACACTCATCTGACTTAGAAGTTGGCTGCCAGGACTACTTAAATCTGGATTTGAGCGGTGGGCCCGATTCCTACCGGACTAGTGCATCTCATTGACTATTCAGAGGTGGCTTCTTCTGCAAGGATTTGGTGTCTTTTCCAAGGAGCCACCATAACTCAAATGTGAAACCAACTTTCTGAGTGGGACACAAGGGAGCCTCTGTGCCCTGGTCTCTGCATCTCCCCTCTGCCCCCAACTCCCCTTGGGATCCAGCCACACTGACCTCTGCTATTCCCTGCACACACCACATGGTCAGGAATGCAAGCTCATGGTGCCCACTGGGAAGGGAGGGGCTCACGTGGCGTTGGCCACAGCCTCCAGGTCTCCCCGAATGTCTAGGTTTCAGGCTGGCCTCAACATTGGGAATGGCTGCTTACCATGATCATGTTGCTGAGGGTCTTGCCGTACATCTTCTTGAAGTGACACTTGATAAGATTTAAGTCAATCTCACTCCTTGAAACGATGTTTCTTATCAGAGTCCCATCGCGTGTCCCTGCTCCCTGGGCAAGACAGCGGCCATCAAAATCCTGCCTCACCTTTCCTGTCCATCTCTGAGTGATGGACAGATCTGTGTGGTTGGGTTCTGGGGCTTTTAGAGGGAGGGAAGGAGCCTGTGCTTCAGTCAAGGAAGCATTAGGAGGGATGCTTTGGTGGCTTAGGGTGTCCACTCCCTCAATCCCTTCTCACCCACTGCCCAGAACTCTTCCTTTATGATGCCAGGTGCTCCAAACTGCATTATGTTTGGTTTGCCATATCATATTCTAGACACGAAATACTGCTCCAACAAGACTTCCTACTAGAGCAACAGCAGCAGTCAGCTCAGCCAGGAATTTCACAGGCAGGGCCTTCCTGCTCACCTTCATCCCTGACCAGTCTCATGTCAGCTGGGGCCACATGGCCAAGGGAATCGCATGCCCTCTCTCATTTCCTAGGCAGAAGTGGCCAGAGGGCTTGGGTTTCGGGTGTGGACCTAACTTCAGAGGATATCAGCAACCATCCATCAGAGAAAACAGGCATTGGTTTTAGTTTCAGGGAATTATTCACCTCCGGAGAGGCAGCGTCCCTTTCCCAGACTCAATTTCCCCTCTGAGAACTAAAACCTTTCTGATCCACAACAGGTTGGGGTAAGAGAACTCCCCAGTGTGGAGGATGGTGGTGGCTTTGAGCTCCTTGACTTTGCACTTGGTGCTATGTAGGGTGACTGTCAGGAAGCAGAAGACAGGACATACCTTCATGGCATAGTAGAGTCTCTCTGCAAAGTAGCTGTGGAGGTTTCGGGTGCATTTCACTGGCAAACAAGAAAGCTATGTTAATGTCTGGAGCTGTTAGGTGGCACTGCTACAACTTTATCTTGCCTTGGGTCTTAAGAGTCAGTGTTGTGCGAGGCTTGGCATATTTCTTTGTGCCCTGCCTTTCCCAAAGTGAGAGGCTTTGTGTCAGGTGGTGTGGGACAGGGAAGGAAGCCCAGGGCACTGGGCACAGCTCCAAAGGCCCAAGCAGGCAGGCAAAGGGTAAGATGTGAAATGCACCGGACTCTGGGGCTTATCTGAAGACACCAGCTCAAGCCCATCCGAGGGCAGCTCAGACTCAGGACAGGCCCTGGGCTCTCAACCCAGAGGCACCTCCACCGAAAATCCAGTCACTCAGCTCCACAGAGGCACTGTGGTATCGTGGCTGCTGGCCTCAGAGTGCCCTCTCTCTGTCACTTATCAGCAGGAACCCTGCATTTTGAATTCCCATGTGACAAGTGGAGTTTGGCCCCAAAGGACTAAGGCACCTGGGGGCGTCTGGTCCAGAGAGTGGGCCCATGCTTGCTCCCATGGGTGCTGCTCAGAGACTTGGCATCTGAGTGGGGAAGGTTGGCGTTTTCACCCAGGGCTGTAGGAGGAGCATGGGCTTTCAGTGAGGTAGGCATGTATTCACTTCCTGCCTTGATGGTGCAGTATGGTTTCATTACTTGACCTCCCTGACTCATCTGGGAAGTGAGACTGATGCAAGGTTTCAAGGGTAAGTAAATAGGAAGGCCCAGCATGACAGGGCACTGCATGGCTTCACTGTTCCCTGCTGGCAGACTTCATTCATGGCGGGTTCAGGCCAGATCCAGGGGTGGACTTTGGAAGCTGAGATTGGAGCAGGGGTGTGATTAGACGTCCTGACATAGACCGGATTGTGTCACAGCATCCAAGGCCAGCTGGGGTGTCTCAGATGGCCCTGTCCACCCAGAGAGGCAAGGACACAGCAGGGAGCCTGCTGGCTGCTGTCCTCTGCACGGAGGCAGCCTGGTGTGGAGCTGAGAGCTGCAGGCCAGGAGTCCGGACCTGGGCTCTGTGTGTAAGTGGGAGAAGAGACGTCCCTCTGCCCTGGGCCTCAGCTCTTTACTCTGCAGTGACTCTTCCCATTGTGATCTTAGCCCTGGACCCCACGAGAGCTCTGGAGTGGGTCCTCCTGAGAAGCCCTGACTTCCTGCTGTGGGGAAGATCCCCAGTGTTTCTCAGCACCAGACCATCTGTCACTCAATTTGGACTCAAGCTACACATCACTGTTTCTTCAACTGGCAATGAAGGCAGGGGCCAGGCCCCTGGCTCATGTCCAGAAAGGTGACTTTGTGCTGGCCAGGGCTTCATAACTAGAGCCAGAGTGCTCCCTGCATGGCTGCCATGAGTACACAAAGGGTTGAGGCTGGCATAATCACTGGCGTATGTATTCGTGTGTGCACACAAACACTGTCTCTCTCACACACACTCACATCCCACCCACACAGTCATGCACACACACCCTCAGGCACACTCTCATGCAAACACATTCTCACGCACACACACTCTCATGCACACACATGCGATCCCACCCACACAGTCATGCACACACACCCTCAGGCACAATTCTCATGCAAACACATTCTCACGCACACACACTTCATGCACACACACTCATGCACACACACACTATGCACACACACTCTCATGCACACACACACCATGAGACACACTCTCATGCACACACACACCATCCAAGACACACCCCAGCATGCACACAACACTCACACAGCACTGGTCATCACGTGGGCATCACAGAGACTAACTTTTGCAGCACACACTGGGACTCTCTAGAGGTGGAGGCCCTGGGTTGGGTGAAGGGGACAGGCAGAGCATGCATTGAGGGGACATCCCGTGAAGGTGACATGGATTATTTCTCTTGCGGTCACATCTCTAGGCCCTTTGTGCTTTTGGTGCTGCCCCACGGTGAGCCCTGTGGCCTGAAAAATATGCATGTCTGAGCTCTTACCCACAGTGAGCATGGCCTCCTCCAGCGAGCCGTGGGTCTCACTCTTGATGCTGTCGTCAATGCTCTTGTTGGCAATTTTCTCATACTCTTCAAACACTGTGGAGAGGGCTCTGCTCAGCGGATGGTCAGACCTCCTTGCGATGCCCCTCAGTGTCTCGGATCAGAGACTGCACATCAATGTGCTGCCCTGACCTCCCACTTGGTGGCCAGGGAAAGAGTCCTGGCCTCCCTGGCTCTCTCCCTAACTCTAGACTTGGCAAGGCAGAAGCATGAGGGAGAGACTCATGACCAGGATACCCGCTGTGACCCCGGCCCCAGCCCCTCCCTCCCTGGTACCTCTCAGCAGGTGAGTGGCACTGCGCGTGCACAGGATGGTGATGAATTTCATCTCATCAGTCCCACGGATCTTCTCGCCTGCCGCATACAGATCCTAGCATTGGAACACCCACAATAAGCCGGTGAGGGAGACCAGGGAGGTGAGGGACTGAGCCCCAGAGTCCCAGAGCTGCAGCCATGGCCGGGCCCTGTCCACTCTGACAGGCCAGCATGCTCCTCTGCTTGGTCATCTCTGACAGGGAGCTCCCCTTTCTCTAGCAGCTCTGGCTTAGAATCTTTTCTCCATCCTGGGCTACAATCTGCTCTAGGAACTGCCCGGTCCCCAGGCTTCCCTCTGCCAGCAGGCAGACCTACAAAACCCAGACACATTGTGTCCAGCACTGGGGCTCAGCATCCCCAGGTTCATGGGCTGTTGCTGCCAGGACAGAGCTTTAGTGCTCCCCCACCCCGAAGTCACGCTCCTTCCTCGCGAGTCTCCCAACACCCTCACTCTCCTCCCCAGACACCAGAGGGCAAAGGCCTACAGGGAGCTGAGCTGGGTGGGTCCCAGCTTAGTGTCAGAGAAAGCCCCCATGGGCAGAGGAGCTGGAGCCAGATGGCAGGGGGTGGGGCCACATGGCCAGCTGGGCGCAGCCTCACCTGTGCGTCTTGGAGGGCCAGTCCCGGGTCCACAAAGCTGCTCACATCATCCCTGCTGCCCTAGGAACAGAGGAGGTGGATCTGTAAGGCAGGCCAGCTGACGAGAGCATTAAGGGCAGAGGGGGCATCCTGGGCTTGGAGGGTAGGCATGGCTCTGCTGCTTTTTGGCTGTGGAAACTTCAGCAAGCCAGTTATTCTCTTCAGTCCTCGGTTTCCTCATTTGTACAATGGGGGTGGTAAGGACTGTCTCATAAGGCTTGGGGGATTCAGTGAGCTAAGGTAAGCAAAGTGCCTGGCATGAGGCCTGCATGAAGGCCCTGCTCTCCTCCCCCTTCCGGGACACTCTCACATGGCTGAGTAAGGACAGGTGTGGGGGCTCTGCAGTCAGGACCCTCTAATCATGCTGAGACACACCCAGTGAGCCCTGACTGCTGGCTATCCATGCCCCTGCCTTGACTCTTGTGGCTCTATTCAAGGGCTGCTCCCTGGGGTGGAGCTCTTAGGACCCCCAAACCACAGCACTCCCAAGAGCCTAGGCTGTGATACCTGCAGGAGGCACACCAGGATCCTCTCCAGGTAGCCACTTGTGTCTGCTTGGATGTCCTCCTCCAGGCTGGACCCGTAGTCTGCAGGGAAACAGGACCATGAGGCACAAGCAGAGGTCCACAGCCTACCCAGGGCCTGATTTCTTCCTTCCAGCCCTGTTCCCCATACTTCTCCTGATTAAAGCCTTCTAGGAAAGAAAGTCCTTGGCACAGGGCAGGGATGCAATGCCCGGGTGTCCAAGTGACTGCCACCTGGGTGGTGGTTCACGACTAGAAGCAACATGCATACACAACCAAGCACAAAGCACAAGCTGGACCAGATCAGAGAGCCAGGCCAGGGGCTGCCAACCAAGCTCCATTTCATCTCAAGGCTTGGCAAAGCCAAAGCCTCCAGCAAAACTCCCCACTGGCTACACAATGTGGAGGACTGACTGGCCTCTGCTAGCCTGGGGTTCACACCCCCCACTAACACCGTCCTCAGCGCAGAGATTTGAGTTGGTCACGTGCCTCTCTCCCCTGTAAGAGGAGCTGGTGAGCTTACAGATCAAGTCTGAGTCAAGTTCAATGTCACCATCAGGCACAGATCTTGGCACACGGTAGGTGCTCAGCACCTGTGGGTAAAAAAGTCCCCAAAGGGTCCTTTCTAGTGTGGTCCAGGTTACTTCTTGATCCTTGTTCCCTGCCAGGCTGCCAAAGCTTGTGGCCACTCCCGAGCCCCTCCATCTGTGCCACCCCTTACCTTTCTCATATGCCTTCATGATCTCCTGCAGCTGGTTCTTGGTCCGAGAGGCCAGGATCTCAATGATGACGCCCTCCTTGGTTCCTAAGCCCTGTGGACAGAAACCTCTGCCTGTTGGAGTGCTCTGCCATGACCTTCTGCTCTATCCACACCTTCTTTTCTCAAGATGCCTAAGCCTCAGGAAGGACCTCACTGCCCTGTCCCACTTGGAGTGGGAGGATGTGATGAGAAAATCACATGCTTGTCTTCAGTGATGGACATTGAGGGCAAGTGGTATGATGGGGAAGCCCTGTCTCAGCTCTCCCTCCTTAGCTGGGTGGTGTCAGACAGGCTGCTCCAGGTCCCGCAGCCTAAGCATCCCAATCCATAAACAGGAATAAGCCTCCCCTGCCCCAAAGGTAGATTAGGGGACACGGGTGTAAAATGCCTGGCAGTGCCCACGCAGCAAGTGTCTTTTCAAACAAAATGACGATCGTTACTGGGTCCCCATCCCTATTAATCTGCAAAAGCAGAGTCGTGAGAGGTAAAGGGAAACCCAGGGAGCTATGCCTGGGACTGTAGAGGCGGGTTTCCAATACCACTGTACACCTGAGCTTGTGAGGTTCTGAGAAGTACCGATTTTGGCTTCATCATGGCCACTCAACATGTCAGTCAGGGACCAGTGACCCCAGGTGTTGGGTGGTCTGAGCACCTGACTGGCTGCTCACTGGGCCCAGCTGTGGCCCATGTGGCCATTCCAAGCAGTGGCTCAAGGGGAGCTCGGGGCTGCCGGTGCCCGGTCCCCGCATTGCCCCTACCCAGTCATGTGAGCACCCCTGCCACTTCCCTGCCCTGTTTGCCTGGTTACCTTCACGGCGTCATGCAGCTCTTTGGCTTCGTATCTGTATGGCAGGTACATAAGGGCCACAATGAGCCTCTCGAACTTGCCGCTCAGCTCCGACTTCAAGGTCTCAGTGAGGTCCTAATGCAGGCACAGGGAAAGGTGGTATTTGTTATAAGCCAGGCCCACCTGAGTGCAGGCAGCGGCGTGGTGGCTGGGCCCAGGGGCTTGGGCTGGATTCCACGTGGGCCCTGCCACGTGCTGGCTGGGTTTCTTGGGCCAGCTCCTTAACTTCTCTGAGCATCAGTACCTTTACCAGGTACACGGAGATAAATATGCTCCTGCTTCATCCCATTGCTTTGGGTGTTGATAGACAGATGTGTGTGACTCAACTCAGCATTCAGTGCAGTGCTGGGCACATTATAAGCTCTCAGTAAAATGAAATTGGCATTGCTAGCTAGACTGCAAGCTCTGAGTGTGGCATCAGCATAAAATACGTGTGCCTCCTTCGAAGGGCACATATTGCTACAAGGAGCCACCAGGCTACATCAGCTGATCTGCAGAGCAGAAGAGAGATCAACGGCTTTGTCAGACCTGGATTTTAATCCCCACCTTGTTGATTACAGGCTCTGGGACCTTGGGCAACTTACAACCTCTCTGAGCACCAGTTTCTCCAAATGTTTGAATGCAAAGTAATGTATAGCTGTGAGGACTAAGAGAGGGAAACTGTAAAAATGCACACTGGGTTCTCCAAGAGAATATTTGAGCTGATCTTCCCTTGTTGAATCTCCAAACTAATGATTTGAGTCACTAGAGGCTTCAGGCAACCATGGCTATGTACATATTTAATCCTGTGTTTACTGTGTACCCCCAAATGTCAGGCTTTGCTCTAGAGGTGGAGGGCACGTGGGAGGAGAAACAAAGGGTCTGGCATACTTGTTCCAGGCTCTTAGAATTCCCAGGTGGCAGAAGGGACAAGGTGTGGGTGCAAGCAGCTGGACCGAGGAAAACGTACCCACACCCCAGAACAGAGCGAAGCCAGGCCTGCGTGCCCGGGGCATGGGAAAGAGAAGGTGGTCTGGGCTCAGGGGACAGGGCGAGATAGCCTGGGGGCAGGGAGGCAGACCTCCAGTGGGGCCTGTGGGGTGCATGAGAAGGAATGCTGTGAGAAGAGGCAGGAAAGGAAGCAGGGAAGGCCAGCCCCTGGCCCGGGCACTGACACCTAAAAGTAGGTCTGCCAGATAAAACACAGGGCGGCCAGTTACATTTGAATTTCGATAAAGAACAATTGTTTTCGTGCACACAGGTTCCATGTGCCCATGCTGCCAGTGGGCTGGCTCTAGGGGAAAGTCGTCCTGAATGGAGCTGCCTCCCAGGCTGTACCCCCAACCCCAAGGCTCACCTATCCCCACCCCCACCAGCCTTCCCCTTGCCTTGCCAAACTGAGCCTTGAAGGACTTGGCGATCTGCTGCCGCTGCGCGTTGCTTCTCTTGGTGAGCACATCGATGATAGCCTGCTCGTTGGTCCCTGCAGGGATACAGCGCGAGTGACCCTCTACCCCCAGGGTGACGCACTGGTAAGGGTGGAGGAGGGCAAGGTGAAGGCAGCTGCTTGGTGGCTAAGCAGCTGGGACCCGACACCTGGATAGTTCCAAACCCCTGGAACATTTTCGTGGTGTAAACAAGGCCCTTAGGAAATCTGCCTCCCCATTTCCTACCCCACACCACCACAATGCTGGGGTGTGCCCAGGGCCAGTCTCACAAGATGGAATCTGAGGTCTGGGTGGCTCTGGACATCAGCCCAGGCCTTTGGCCGAGTGAGAGCTCCGGCCCTGCCCTCCTTTGTGTTGGTTGCAGTAGGGGAAGGTCAAGACTAAGAGTCCAACCCCTGGATCTGAGGCCTGGCCCAGCAACTGCGTGGCATTGGGCAGCCAGCCTCATTTCCCTGGGCCTCCGTTTTCTCATTTGGGAAGTGGAGATAACTTTCTACTTCACAGAAAGCAGAGGGCATGAGAACGTTTTCTGGGCTTGTCAGGAGCGGCAGTTCTTGTTAATGCCCCTGATCCTCAGGCAGAGCCAGCTAAGGGGTCAGTCCCACCTGGGGTGAGGTCAGGGTGCATGCTCTGCTCTCAGGTCAGGAGGGCTTTCTGGGCAAGCTGTTTAAATCTGGCCTCAGGTCAGCCCTCGCCCACTCACAGTAGTGCTAAGGGCGGCACTGGGCAAGTGCTGGAGATGGAAAGGGAGCCGGCTCCATGGCCATCAACATGCGGCAAGGGGACCTTCAGTCAGCCCCACAAACTCCCCATACCTCACACTCCCAGCTCTGTTCCTGGCGTCGTACAGCACCATCCCCTTCATACTTCATGTGACACACGAGGCCAAGAATTATTGGGGCCACTTTACAAGTGAGAAAGCTGAGACTGATGCGAAGTCACTCACAGGGACACACAGCTGACCTCCCCACCCCTATTACCCAGGGAAGAGCAGCACCCTCCTGTCCAGTCTTGCAGGGTGGGTGCTGACCTCACTGCAGAAACAGAAGGCTGTGTGATTCTCTGGGTAGTGGAGTCAGTCTCAGAGTATCATGGGACACCCGAGCTCCCCAGATGTCCCCTGGCACCCGCTTGCCAGGGCTATGAGCAGAGAGGTCTTGAGCAGAGGTGGCAAAGCTGCCAACACCCACTCACCGATCCCCTTCATGGCTTTGTAGAGGGTCTCTGCATCAGGGTCTGGGTTGAAGTGGGAGCTGCTCTTCACTGTGACACCCTCCTGTTCAATCTGCAAGAGAACCAGGCCTGCTCAAAGCAGGCAGGGACAGGGAGGGCAGAGCAGGCTCCCAGCCCATCTTGTAGCCTGCCCTGACAGGGTAAGCCCCTCCCCTGGACATGGAGATCTGCTCAGCCCTTGCAGGCCAGTACTCAGCCCTTCAGCCCCTTGGACAACAGGGTGGAGTAGCCAGAGCCAGAGTTTGTGGGGAGAAGCCATGAAACCTTTCCTGTCCCTGCCTGTGCCATCTGAGGGCAGATAGCAGCCCCAGCCACACCCAGCTCCTTCCAGCATCACCCACCAGCAGCAGGAAGGGACAAACTCACCCAACGTTAGGGGAGAAAGAACACTTAAAGGCTTTCTGGAGCTGCATGCGCTGCCTTCAGAGCGTGCAGATGAGGCTGGAAGGCTGGGCATGGTTCTGCCTTTCTGAGGAATGGTTTGAGCTCAGTCTGCCCTCTTCCTGCGGAGTTAGGACTTACAGGAACTTAGAGGGCGGGGGCTCAGCTGAGCATCCTGATAATTCAGGGTATTTGCAAGTCCACAGGCCCATGGGGCTCAGAGCATCAGGTTTAGAAAAACCCGCAGGATGCTCTGCAGATTGTGAAATAAACCAGATAACCAGGTGCCTGAGCCCTTGACTTCCAAGCCTCCAGTTCAGGGCTTGCCTGAGGGCTCTTTAAACTGCAGAGTTTCTCAGATGATTAAGACAGACGACTCCTCATAAGTCTGTTTATGTTTCGGGTGGAGGAATGGTAAAGAGTGGAGGGATATTGGAGATAGGTATTGAATTAGAGGGAGACTCAGAGATACTCCAGGATGAAAAAGAGTTTAGTCCCATCCAGTCTTGTCTTCCATTCACCTATTCACTTATTCCTTCCATCACCTCCATCATTTGCCCTTCTACTTTCCCACCTACCCACTTATCCATTTGACTACCACATCCATCCATCCATCCCTCCATCCAGGCCCTGGGTTAGATTCTGAAAATACAGAGATTCCCATGGATGGCATATCTGTAAGTATCTTTCCTTTGAGTAAGAGGTAAGGCATCTTTCTGAACCCTTTGCTTTAATTTCAAATGTCTGGTGACAGATCTTCGTGAGTCATTTCTTAGCACCATGTTGCACAGCAGAAATTATTAGAAATAATTCCTATAGAAATTCCATCCAGGGACAGCCAATGTGGTCCCAGATATTGCTCATCAGTGTACACACACACACGATATCCCTTGCTTGTGGAGTAACGCTCTGCTATTACTCCTCTTAGCACTTTGAGCCCCTTGTGTGTACCAGACCTGGGCCAGGTGCTTTAGATGCAATGCTTATGTCACGGCTTCCTCAACAGTTGTGCTAGGTAAGTACTGATGCCTCACTTTACAGAAAGGGAGCTGGACTGCCTTACACGGATAGTAAGCAGTGCTGCTGGGACTCCCCAGCCTGACTCAGAAGCTGAGCTCTATCTACCTCCCCTGCCCTACTGATGACTCAACCTTTCCCAGGCAATGAGTGTTCCTGGAACGTTCCGCTGAAGGAATCTTCACCCACAGGAATGCAGGTCGTCTGGGAAGGTGGGGGGCATCTCAGCTCTCAGTGCCTGCCAGCTTCCCTCTGTCCCGGCTCTCTCGGGTGCTGTGGTGCACCAGCTAGTGGCCAGGTTGTGTGACTGCATCCCTCAGGAGCATGCAGTCCAGCAGGGGTGCGGTAGGGCTCAGGTGAAGCATTTGTAAGCGGCTCCCAGGCTGGTTCTTATTTTGCTGCATTAAGAAGCCTGTGTCTCACTTCTCACTCTAAGGTTTTAGAAAATAAGTGTTCTAGGCATTGGAGCCCTGGCTATCCGTGTGGAGTCCTGGAGCTCCAGAACCCCTGCTGAGAAGGAAGGGTCAGCCTCAGGCTCCTGCAGGGTCTTGCCCAGGGCCGTGCGAGTACAGACAGGCACATTTTCACTGAAAAGGTGATTCAGACCAGCCTGTGACTACATCTATTGATATAACTTGTTCTGTGACAGGCGCGGGGGAGCTGCCACACCTCGGCCTTCCCCTGCTATGTGGCTGCCCAGAGGCCTGGGAGATGGGTTTGTCTCTATGAGACACAGAGGAAAAGACAACACCAAAAAGAGAGGTGCAAAGGGGCTCTGCCTGCAGACAGAGTCTCTCCAGTGGCTCCCTCATCCCCTCCCATCCGTTCCTGGTCCAGCTTTGTGCCCAGAGGACACTGGGTCCTCGCTGGAAGCTCGGCTCTTGCAGGTGGGGTCTACCTGTGAACTTGCCACCCCGAGCCAGCTCTCGCATGGGGCATGGACGGCCAGGGTACAGTTTTGGCCCTGGAGTCAGGCTGTTCAGATTCTCACCCAGACTCTGACACTTAGTAGTGAGTTCGGGCACCTGCCTAGCCTACTTGTGCCTCAGTTTCCTCATCTATGGATAAGGATACTGGTGTCTACTTCATAGATTTCTTTTTTTTTATTTTTATTTTTTTGAGTCAGAGTTTCGCTCTTGTTGCCCAGGCTGGAGTGCAATGGTGCAATCTCGGCTCACCGCAACCTCCGCCTCCCAGGTTCAAGCGATTCTCCTGCCTCAGCCTCCCTAGTAACTGGGATTACAGGCATGTGCCCACCATGCCCGGCTAATTTTGTATTTTTAGTAGAGACAGAGTTTCTCCATATTGGTCAGGCTGGGCTCGAACGCCCGACCTCAGGTGATCCGCCCGCCCCGGCCTTCCAAAGTGCTGGGATTACAGGCATGAGCCACCACGCCTGGCCTTCATAGACTTCTTGTGAGGTTCAAGGGAGATACTGAATGTGAGGTGCTTAGAGCAGGGCCCGGCACACAGTAGGGACTCAGTGAGTGCCACAGTGATCCTGTCAATTTGGCAGGTCCCTACATGGAGAGCCCTTTGTCCTGCTGCACTGGGTGCAAGGCCCAGTGTCAGACCACCTTGGCCAGCAACTGACTTTGGAAACCATCCAGCACTGGGCTCTCCCTGCCATGTCCACCTCCTCAAAGGCAGGGTCCCAGCAGCCTGGTTGAAGCTGGAGGCTGCCATGGCCCCTTGTCCTGAAAGATGGCTGCTTCCCTGGGGGCCAGGACAGCTGCCCCACCTCCCCCTGGCTTCCTCTGTGTCCCACCTGTCCAGAACCTAGCATGTCTGACCCTGAGGACCCTTGCCTGGGTTGTGACGTCTATGATCCAGAGATTCCCTGAAGCTGGACAAGCCCGGTTCCCCACAAAAGCTCACAGAGAGCCTGGGGCTGGGCAGAGAGACCCAAGTGCTCTCTGACTGGAGCCTGCTGGCCATTGGACCCTAGCAAGTCACTCAGTGTCTCTGAGCTTCCATTTCCTCATCTGCAAAACAGAAAGTGCAGCCCTGACATCCTGAGCCTGCCTGGGAGGAAAGGAAAAGGGTGTGCAGAGCCGGCAGCCAGGAGATGTCACCTCTGTTCCCTCCTGGATATTCAACTCCTTAGTACAGCGATGGCCTCAGCCTCAAGCATAGATGGAAAGCTCCTGAGAACCCATCAGTTCTACTGGGGATGGGCTGCCCTGTGCCCCGGGTTTCTCAGGGCTCTAGTAGGCCAGGTCCTCCTGCTTCCCTCCTTCCCTCTCCAGTCTTGACAAATGAACATCATTGATGCCGGAGGTGAAGGCACTGATGGGTCCACAACAGCATGTTCAGGTTACTCTCCCGCTCAAAGCCCTTCAGTGCCGTCCCACTGCTCTTAAGGTAAAGCCTGGACTCCTCAGCCTGCCAGGCAAGGCCTTTCAGGACCTGGTCCTGCCTTCTTCCCCAGGTCCATCTCCTCTGAACCAGGACTCTTGAGCTGTGCTGAGCAGCTTCCCTCAAAGCCAAGCTCCCCGCCCTCTGACCCTCTGACACAGTTCCCTCTGCCGGGAGCAGTATGCCTGATTCTTCCCACCCAAATACATGCGTGTGCGCACCCCATACACATTTACACACAAGGCTCAACCATGACACCCCCTCTTTTGAGTGGCCTCACCCCTGCAAGGGTCTCCCCTGGACTCTTCTCAAACCTCAGCTTCCCCCTTGCATTTCTAGATTTCTTCATCGGCCTGTCTCCCAGCTCAGGTCCCATCCCTGCCATGGGCACTCTAGGCCTGGGGCTGTTTCATCTCGGCCCCTCCCCACCCTCCACGCTTGGCCCAGGAGGCAGCCAAATGTAGAACGAGCCACTCCCAGCCAAGGGCGACTTTACATTTCTCAGGACTCCCTGGTGACCAGCATCTAACACCGTGCAGGAGCCCAACTCTCTTGCCAGCTCCCACTTACCCAGGCTTTCCACCAGGCCATCTCGTTCACCTCGGGAGCACCTTTCCCAGGGAGATGAAGAGACACAGGTCGGCCTCCACTGGGACTCCACACGTCTGGCTCCTGCAGCCGAGGAATGAGCCGGCCGCTGCCTTGGGTGTGGGGGTGCAAGCCCGCCCTGGGCCACACCCAGCGCCACACCTGCCAGTCGCCCCCTCGCCCCCAGGCTCTGCCTGGCTTTGGGCGTCTCCTGTGGCTCCCAGGCCCCACCCAGACACTGTCCAGGCCTGCTCTCGGGAATTATGCAACTCACTGTCAGATATTTGGGCTGTGGCTGTTATGCATACTGGAAATTCTTAGCTCCAGCCTGTGAAATCCCCACTCAGTAAACACAGCTCCATGTTGATCAGGCTGGTCTCACACTCCGGACCTCAGGTGATCTGCCCTCCTCGGCCTACTAAAGTGCTGGGATTACAGGTGTGAGCCACCACGCCCAGCCCATTTTCATCATTCTTAATAGCCATGGAGCATTCCATTTAATCAACTGTATATGCAGTATTTTTTTCCCCCGGGGGCAAGGGGCTCATATTCACCACAGTTGGGAGGCCAGTTAGTGAGAAGGTGGCAGGCGGCACAGCCACCTTATACAGCATGCCATACTGGTCCACTGTCAGACCGGTGATGGCCTCAGTCCACCACCCCCCAGCTGACTCTGGCTCCTGCCTGACTCTGCCCACCACAACCGCTTGGGACCATTCAGAGGCATCACTGGAGGGTGTGTGGTTAGTGGAGCAGCTGGTAGTTCTCCGCATATCCCCTCTGGTCATGGGAAGGTCTCGTTTCTTTGGTGGAAGCCATTCCTGACTCCTCTCATGAAAGGGTTTCATATTGCTTTGTGGTGTTCCTGGAGCCTGGAAGGAGTCGGCTTGCTCCCTGGGGCATCAGGAGAGGCTTCTCTGTAGCTTCTCTGTACTCCTCTCTGCTTCTGGCGGGGGCGCCCACATCTGAGCTTCCAGTGGTGCTTCTGAGCAGCTGTAGTAAGTATCCTCCCATCCTCCCGGCTGTCAGGCCTCTGAGCCCAAGCCAAGCCATTGCATCTCCTGTGACTTGCACAGACACGCCCAGATGGCCTGAAGTAACTGAAGAATCACAAAAAAGTGAAAGGCCCTGCCCCGCCTTAACTGATGACGTTCCACCACAAAAGAAGTGAAAATGGCCGGTCCTTGCCTTAAGCGACGACATTATCTTGTGAAATTCCTTTTCCTGGCTCATCCTGGCTCAAAAAGCTCCCCCACTGAGCACCTTGTAACCCCCACTCCTGCCCGCCAGAGAACAACCCCTCTTTGACTGTAATTTTCCTTTACCTACCCAAATCCTCAGCCCGCCTGCACCCAGGTGATTAAAAAGCTTTATTGCTCACACAAAGCCTGTTTGGTGGTCTCTTCACAGGGAGGCGCATGACACCGGCTGGCTGGGGAGCCAGCCCATTTCACAGCACTTCCCGGGATCCATCTGCTTGTCCTAGAGCCTTGGCAACGAAGGCTGCTGCCATCCCCCGCCCCGGAGCCACCCCACACCCCTGTATATGCAATATTTGTTTACCGGTCCCTTTTGGTGTCCATCTAGGTACAGGTCTCATTTTTCGAGCTAAAGTATTTAGAATACACTGGAAGTAACAGATGTCACCTCCATATTGCACGCCAAACCTAATAAGCAGAGCAAAACTTTTCATCCAAGTGATTTGGTTAACATTTTAGGATGTTTCTAATCTCTCAGTAATACAAATATGCTACAATAGATCTGTGTGTTTATCCTTTGGGCACCTGTGTGTACCTGTGCACACCTGGAGAATAAAGTCCTGTGAGAGGAACTGCCATCCAAAGAGGGTGTTTCAGTCTATAATACTGCCACCAACAATATGCTCGTGCTTCTGAGTTTGCGTTTGGATCAGGAGAATTTGAAAGTCATCAGGAACCAAACGAGGCTATAAGGTTCAGCTGTAGCTGGAAAGTGGCAAATGTTCCAAAGCTAAGACATTGGCTATTCCTGGGCTGTTCACAAACTGTGAGGCCAAGTCTAGATGAGATCCAGAAATACGGTGAGCAACTCACTTATTTTTTAAGCAAAACACCTTTTCTTCTAATTTATGGTAAGAACAAATAGCTTCCAGCAGAGAAATAGGGGATGCAATATTTTTACAAATTGCTTCTCTTTTTTTTATTAAAAAAATTTTAAGTTAAATGCTACTTAAAGATATGTTTAACCTCTGTGATACTGACTTGCTCATGAGAAGAAAGAGAGAGGGCCAGGCCTCTGCCCACTACTACCCACTATCAACATGTAGGCCTGACATCAGTCGCTAAATATTCTGGGCCGGGCGCGGTGGCTCACGCCTGTAATCCCAGAACTTTGGGAGGCCAAGGCAGGCGGATGGGATGATAACGTCAGGAGATCGAGACCATCCTGGCTAACATGGTGAAACCCCGTCTCTACTAAAAATACAAAAAATTAGCTGAGACTGGTGGCGGGCACCTGTAGTCCCAGCTACTCAGGAGGCTGAGGCAGGAGAATTGTTTGAATCCAGGAGGCGGAGGTTGCAGTGAGCCAAGACCATGCCACTGCACTCCTGCCTGGGCAACAGAGTGAGACTCCGTGTTTAAAAAAAAAAAAAAAAAAATCAACATTGGCTTCTAGGATGACTAAGCAGTGACTCAGTCTCTCCTTGACCGGATTCTGTGACTATCCAGCAGAAATGCTTATCTGATCTCTGCGAGAACAAGAAGCAGCTCAGTGGGGGCCTTCCTTGCTAAATTCTTTATCAAGCTGGTCTGTTATCTGCCCTGAGTCCTGCAAGAACATCTAAGAAAAATCCCCTAAAACATGCGAGACAAATGAGGGTCCTCCCTTGGCGTGTTCCTGAAGCACTGAGGTGCCTGAAAGTTTGTATAGTTTCTGGGGAAACAGTTTTTTAGGAAATGTAGCACAGACACTAACTATTCTTCCAGAAAAGCCCCTTCCTGACATGAAAGGTCTTAGCATGAGAGAGAAGCATCTGATTCATCATGGGAGCCTATTCAACAAGTAGCAGGGGCCCCAGTGCCAGTGTCGGCCTCAGCAGAGGAGACACGGGGGACATGCAAAGTGTTTCTGTTGAAAAATATTTCACCTAGGGTGACTATAGTTAGCAGGAATATATTGTATGTTTCAATGTAGCTAGAAGGCTAGGCACAGTATCCCATGCCTATAACTCCAGCATTTTAGGAGGTCCAGGCAGGCAGATCACTTGAGGTCAGGAGTTCAAGACCAGCCTGGCTAACATGATGAAATCCCATCTCTACTAAAAATACAGAAAAAAAAAAATTAGCCGGGCATAGTGGCCTGCGCTTGTAGTCCAAGCTACTCGGGAGACTGAGGCTGGAGAATTGCTTGAACCTGGGAGGCAGAGGTTGCAGTGAGCCAAGATCACACCATTGCCCTCCAGCCTGGGCGACAGAGCAAGACTCTGTCTCAAAACAAAAAACAAACAAACAAAAAAAGTAGCTAGCAGAGGGGACTTGAAATGTACCCAACACATAGTAATACCAAATATTCATGGTGATGGACACCCCAAACACTGATTGATCACCACACATTCTGTGCATGTAATAAATACTCAAATGTACTCCATAAATACGTAAAATATTTTATATCAACAAGAAAATACTTTGCCTAGTGTTTCCATCCAAATGGGAATAAATCCAGGGCTTGATGTACTCGTTTCATGGTTTTTTATTGAGACTCGGGAAGGGTGGGCCGTGGTAGCAGGTGCACTCACTGTCCAAGTTTGTCCAGACTCTCTGCTGCATGGGTGATGGCATTTGTGACTGTGTTGGTCACTGTCTCAGTGACTTCCTTCATCTTTTTGTCCGCTGACTCTTGGGCTTTCTTTACAGCTTCGGCAATGGCTGTTGGAAAGAAAGAGGAAGAATGTCCTAGTGATCCACCCGCTGAACTTGTGTCCCCTTGAGTGGCCTGTGGGATGTGGCCATCTTAATGGATTAGTCCCTGGAGTGGCCCAATGGGACCAAGGGCAGCAGGACTCCTGGCAGAATGAATTTGAGTTTGGTTTTAATTTCCCCGACAGCTTGTATTTCTTCAGCTGTGAGTGAGACTGAGCATCTCATGGGTACATTGCCTGCTTATCCTTTTTTCTGGAAAATGCCTGCTCATGTCTTTTGACCATTTTTATATTGGATCGTTATATTGGATTATCATTTTTATTACAAATATTTTTAATGAGTTTTTCTTTTGCCTTGGTTTATAATTTTTTTTTTTTTTTTGGCTATAGAAAATTTCAAAGTTTTGGATTGCCAAATTTACTTAATATTCCCTTTATGGCCACTAGTTTTTTTGTCATGGTTCTAAAGATTCTCCCCTCTCCAAGATTAGGCCAAAGTCTCTTATGTTATTACAATGTCTAAATGTTTATAATGTCTTCCCCCTCAAAACTCCTATGTTGAAATCCTCAGCCTTAATGTAATGATATTAAGAGGTGCGGCCTTTGGGAGGTTGAAATTAGCACCCACATAAAAAAGACCACAGAGTAAGCTAGCTCCTTCCACCATGTGAGGACACAGCTAGGCCCATCCACGAACCAGGAAGACGCCCTCACCAGATGCCAAATCTGCCATTGCCTTGACCTTGGACTTCGCATCCTCCAGGAGTGTGAGAAATAAATTTCTGTTGTTTCTAAGTCACCCAGTTTATGGTTTGTTTTTGTTTTTGAGACAGTCTTGCTCTGTCACCCAGGCTGGAACACAGTGGTACAATCTCAGCTCACTGCAACCTCTGCCTCCCTGGTTCAAGGGCGTCTCCTGCCTCAGAGTCCTGAGTAGCTGGGATTACAGGCATGTGCCACCACACCCAGCTAATTTTTGTATTTTTAGTAGTGATGGGGTTTCACCATATTGGTCAGGCTGGTCTCGAACTCCTGACCTCAGGTGGCCCACCTGCCTTGGCCTCCCGAAGGGCTAGGATTACAGGTGTGAGCCACTGCACCCGTCCTATGGTATTTTATAATAGCAGCCTGAGCTAAGATGGTTATCTCCTAGTAAGTTAATAAATTCATATATGTAAATTTAAGTCCTTCATCTACCCGGAAACTATTTTGTTGAAACAGAATGAAATATACACATGCTTTGTGCATAGTTTTACTCATAGCTCACACACATCAATTTAACATTTAACATAGAATTTTACAAGTTTTTTTTTTTTTTTTTTTTTTGAGACGAAGTCTCACTGTTGCCCAGGCTGGAGTGCAGTGACGCCATCTCGGCTCACTGCAAGCTCCGCCTTCCGGGT